TGCAACAACTGGAGGTCACTATGTTAAGTGAAATTAGCCAAAGGCCAGGCATGGTCTCACGCCTGTAATCCCAGAACTTTGGGAGGCCAAGGTGGGCGAATCACTTGAACACAGGAGTTCAAGACCAGCTTGGGCAACATGATGAAACCTTGTCTCTTGAAACCTGGTCTCTACAAAAAATAAAAAAATTAGCCAGGTGTGGTGGCCTGCACCTGTAGTTCCAGCTCCTTGGGAGTCTGAAACAGGATAAGCCCAGGAGGTGGAGGTTGCACTGAGCCAAGGTCATGCCACTGCACTTCCAGCCTGGGCAACAAAGCCAGACTCTGTCTCAATCAGTATCAAAAAAAAAAAAAGAAAGAAGCCAGATACCAAAAGACAAATATTGCATGTTCTTACTCATATGTGGAGCTAAAAAAGCAGATCTCATGGACGTAAGAGAGTAGAATGGTGGTTACCAGAAGCTGGGAAGAAAAGGGGGTGGGAAATGAAGAGAGGTTGGTTAAAATGTAAAAAAAAAAAAAAGAAAAAGGAATACAGTAGGGAAATTATAGTTAATAATTTATTGTATGTTCAGAATAACTACAAGAGAAGAATTGTAATGTTCCCAACACAAAGAAAAGATCAGTGTTTGAAGTAATGAATGTCCCAGTTTCCCTGATTTGATTTGATCATTACACAATGTGTAAAGATACCAGGAGATCTCATGTACTCCTAAAGTATGTGTAACTATTACATACCAATAAAACAAATTAAATTTAAAGATTTTAAAAAGCACATGAGGTGTTCTATCTTTCAGATACTTTTCTATCTCAGTCTCTTCTAAAACTGATGACAGTTCTGTGAGAGTTGTTATTTTCTTACTTTGATAGAATATATTTATATTTTGTATACATGTATGAAAGTAGGTACACATATAAAACCTGGTTCTTTTCATACTGTATTTTAAAGATTTTCAAAAAACTTGCACCTTAATATTATTACAATTCATTTTTATTTTTTATTACCTTTTCAGAAAAGGATTTGATTTTCAGAGAAAACAGTATGGCAAACTAAAGAAGTTTACTACTGTAAATCCTGAGTTTTATAATGAACCAAAAACCAAACTTTATCTTAAGCTGAGTCGGAAGGAAAGTTCTTCAGCTTATAGCAAAAGTGAGTTGATCTGATCATACTGGTGATTCAATCTAGCCTTCTATCTCCATTACATACAACTGTATAAGTCGTTTATATTAAAGAATTTTATATTAAATTTTGAAAGTATAATTTAATAGTACTATGTATTATATATAAACTAATTGTATAATAAATTAGACCATTTCTAAAAAACATTTTAAGATGTTAGGGCTTTTTAAAAACTTCATTAAAAGGGATACCAAAAACATTTAATTAGTTCTTGGAATCATATAAGTAAGTATATTGAATCAACTGTGCCCTGATTTAATGTCAAAAATAAACCGAAAATACGTAATAATAAGTTTGTTGATGCTTCTTTTATTGTCTATGTAATTTGGCAACATTGAACCCCAAATTTTGTATATTTGGAAATAAAATCCTTTAAACATTTTTCCCCCCCGAGACAGAGTCTCACTCTCTTGCCAAGGCTGGAGTGCAGTAGCGTGATCTAGGCTCACTGCAACCTCTGCCTCCTGGGTTCAAGTGATTATTCTGCCTCAGCCTCCCGAGTAGCTGGGATTACTGGTGCATGCCACCAAGTTCAGCTAATTTTTGTATTTTTAGTAGAGATGGTTTCACCATGTTGGCCAACCTGGTCTTGAACTCCTGGCCTCAGGTGGTCCACCCACCTTGGCTACCATGGGATTATAGACATAAGCCACCATGCCCGGCCAGCATTGAGTGTTTTTAAAGGACCTTAGGTGCACTAAGTTGGATTAATCATTATTTGTGATTTTGTGACCTACTCTTAGTCATTGGTCCTCACATAGCTCACTTTCATTTAGTTATTTACTTAGTTATTTAAAATAATATAATAAGCATTTGTGAGCCCACAAACCAAATCAAAATCTAGTACCTTTATACCAACCTACATTTAAGTTAACCCCACTACCTAATCTGGTCTCTCCAAACCCAAGGTAATTATCATTTTGATCCTTGCACACACCAACATTTTTCTTTCCTTTGTGTATAGATTTATGTAAATGAATTCCTAAAGAGCTAAATAAAATTTTTAGTTTTTTTAGATCTTACTAAAATGATGTCATTCTGTATATAATCTTTTGGAATTTATCTTTTTTTGGTTAGTATGTTGCTACAATTTATCCATGTTGTTGTTCTTAAATCTAGTCTAGATTATTTGTTTTGACTGTTGTATAATATTTTGTAAACATGCTATAGTTTATTGTTTTCATTGTTTGGGTTTCTAAGTTTTACCACTGTGAACAGGGTGTTGTGAATATTCTTGTACTGTCTTGTAGATATGTACAGGTTTCTTTTGACTATTACTCTAGGAATAAAAATGCTGCATTACAGCATATGAAGATACTTCACACATCTTTAGATTGTAGTGCCAAATTGATTTCCAAAGTGGCTCTATCAGTTTGTATTCAACCTGAGTATAAGAGATCTTATAGAGCAACTCATTCAAATGAGTGTAAGATGATTGCATTGTGGTTTTAGCTTACATTTCTCTGCTCACCAGTGATGTTAAAATACTCTTCATGTGTTTATTAGTTACATGTGTTTCTTCTTAGCCATTTTACTATTGGGTTCTTTATAACCTTCTTTTATTTATAGAAGTTCTTTATGTATTCTTCATATTAATTCTTTGTTGATTATGTATATTGTGAATATCTGCTCCTCAGATCATGTCTTTTCACTTACTTTAAGATATCTTTAGATAAATAAAAATCTTAATTTTAAAATAGTCATATTTATTGTAATCTTTTCTTTTTGACAGTGCTTTTTATATCTTATCTTAAAAATCTTTTCCTATGCTGAGTTCTAAAATTACTCACCTATATTTTCTACTAAATGTTTTACAGTTTGGTTTTTGACATTTAAATCTTTATTATTAATTTCCATAATTTTTTGAGGGAAGAGGTGGTGTTTGGTTACATGAATAAGTTCTTTAGTAGTGATTTCTGAGATTTTGCTACACCTATCACCTGATCAGTATACACTGTACCAAATTTGTAGTCTTTTATCCTTCACCGCCCCGCTTACCCTTTCCCCTGAGTCCCCAAAGTCCATTGTATTATTCTTATGCCTTTTCACCCTCATAACTTAGCTCTCACTTACGATTAGAGCATACAATGTTTGATTTTCCATTCGTGAGTTACTTCACTTAGAATTATCTCCAGTTCCATCCAGGTTGTTGCAAATGCCATTATTTGTGCCGTTTTATGACTGAATAGTATTCCATGGTGTGTGTGTGGAGGGGTGTGTGTGTGTGTGTGTGTGTGTGTGTGTGTATCTATCTATATCACAATTTCTTTATCCACTCGTTGATCAATGGGCATTTGGGCTGGTTTCATATTTTCGTAATTGCGAATTGTGCTGCTATAAACGTGTAAGTATCTTTTTTGTGCAATGACTTCTTTTCCTCTGAATAGATACCCAGCAGTGGGATTGTTGGATCAAATGGTAGTTCTACTTTTAGTTCTTTAAGGAATCTCCACACTGTTTGCCACTGGTTGTACTAGATTACATTTCCACTAGCAGTGTAAAAGTGTTCCCTTTTCACCACATCCCTGCCAACAACTATTAATTTTGAATTTTTTGATTATGGCCATTCTTGCAGGAGTAAGGCAGTATTGCCTTGTGGTTTTGATTTGCATTTCCCTGATCATTAGTGATGTTGAGCATTTTTTCATGTTTGTTGGTCATTTGTATATCTTCTTTTGAGAATTGTCTATTCATGTCCTTAGCCCACTTTTTGATGGCATCATTTGATTTTTTCTTGCTGATTTGTTTGAGTTTCTTGTAGATTCTGAGTGTTACTCATTTGTCAGATGTATAGATTGTGAAGATTTTCTCCCACTCTGTGGGTTGTCTGTTTACCCTGATGATTGTTTCTTTTGCTGTGCAGAAGCTTTTTACTAATAGTTTAATTAAGTTCCATCTTTTTTTCTTTTTTTTTTTTTTTTTTTTTGAGACGGAGTCTCGCTTTGTCCCTAGCCTGGACTGCAGTGGCACAATCTCGGCTCACTGCAAGCTCCGCCTCCCGGATTCACACCATTTTCCAGCCTCAACCTCCCGAGTAGCTGGGACTACAGGCGCCCGCCAACACGCCCGGCTAATTTTTTGTATTTTTAGTAGAGACGGGGTTTCACCATGTTAGCCAGGATGGTCTCGATCTCCTGACCTCGTGATCCGCCCGCCTCGGCTTCCCAAAGTGCTGAGATTACAGGCGTGAGCTATCGCGCCCAGCCTATCTTTGTTTTTATTGTATTTGCTTTTGGGTTCTTGATCATGAAGTCTTAGCCTAAGCCAGTGTCAGAAGGATTTTTCTGATGTTCTAGAATTTTTATGGTTTCACGCTTTAGATTTAAATTCTCGATCCATATTGAGTTGATTTTTGTATAAGGCAAGAGGCGAGGATCCAGTTTCATTCCTCTACATGTGGCTTGCCAATTATCCCAGCACCATTTGTTGAATAGGGGTTTTTTCCCCCACTCTATGTTTTTGTTTGTTTTGTCAAAGATCAGTTGGCTCTAAGTATTTGGTTTTATTTCTGGGCTCTCTATGCTGTTCTGTTGGTCTATGTGCCTATTTTTATACCAGTACCATGCTGTTTTGGTGGCTATGAGATTTAAATCTTCAGTCCACTTGAAGTTGACTCTTTTTTTCTTTCGTATATGGTGTGAAGTAGGGATCCGGTTTCATCTTTTTCTTTTTAATTACCAATTTTGCTAGAATAGTAACCATTTTTTATTGATTAGTCTCTTTTCCTCACTGGTCTGAAATGCTACGTCTGTCATATAATCAGGTTTAAAGTAACTGTGTGTGTTCTGGAATCCCTATTTTATACTGTAGGTTAGTTTGTATATTGTTGTACCAGTTCCAGATTGCCTTAATTACCATAGCTTCATAAATCCTGATATCAAATTGTGCAAGTTCCCCTCTGTGTTCTTAGATGTGGCCTGACTGTTCTTGGTCCTTTACTCTTTCATATATATTTTAGAATCATCTTATCAAGTTTCATGAAAAACTTGTTGGGATCTTGATTGGAATTGTACCTATAAAGTTGAGAAGGGATGCCATCTTTAAAATACCAAGATTTAGAGCTGAGCATGGTGGCTCACACCTGAAATCCCAACACTTTGGGAGGCCAAGACAGGAGGATAGCTTGAACTTAGGAGTTTGGAGACCAGCCTGGGCAACATAGTGAGACCTTGTCTCAAAAAAAAAAAAAAAGAAAAAAAAATTAAGATTTAATACCATGTACTTGCTATATCTCTCTGTTTATTTAAATTTTTTTGTGACATCTTATAATAAAGTTCTGCAAATTTCCCTGTAGAAGTTTTGAATATTTTTATCTTAAATTTATTCATATTCTCTGATACCACTGTATTATTTGTGTTTTTGTTCTTCTGACCAGTCTTGCCTGAGGTTTGTCTTATTTTGTTATTTTTATCAAAGAACTGACTTGGTTTTATTGATCAGAAGATCAGCAATGTATTTTTGTTTTATTTTTATTGTTGTTGTTGGCTTCCTCTCTAATTTTTATGATTTCTTCTATTTTGTTTAGGATAGTATCCTCTTCTTTTTTACACATCTTAAGTTGATACTTAGCTAATTTTGAGGCTTTTCTCTTCTCTAATACACTTATTAGGGCTGTAAGTTTTCCTTAAAGTACCACTCTATTTTTTTTTTTTTTTTTTGAAATGTAGTCTGGCTCTGTTGCCCAGGCTGAGTGCAGTGGCACAATTGTGGCTCACTGCAACCTCCACCTCCTGGGTTCAAGCAAATCTTCTGCCTCAGCTTCCCATACTCCCGTACTGGGACTATAGGCACCCACCACCACACCCAGCTAACTTTTTGTATTTTTAGGAGAGATAGGGTTTCACCATGTTGGCCAGGCTGGTCTTGAACTCCTCACCTCAAGTGATCTGCCTGCCTAGGCTCCCAAAGTGTTGAGTTTACAGATGTGAGCCTCCGCGCCTGGCCTACCACTCTATTTTTGCTGAAGTATT